AAAAAAAAAAAAAAAAAAATTGAAACACTATTGTTGCAATAATAAAAAAAAAATTATAACCAATTTACATAAGTTTGGACCAAATTTATTGGGAAAAATTTGCAATTTCTCTATTTATTTATTACTCCTTTTAAAAAGAAAAAGGGAAGAGATAGGAGCATAGATATGCCAAACTCGGGAGCGACGACGTTTTAGGGCAAACAAAACGGCCGTCCGCTCCCTGGATGAACGAAAAAGGCAAACTCATTCATGCCTTGAATGGCAAATAGATCATAATTACAGGGAAACAACAGTTCAAATTGTTTGAAAGAAGAACCCGCCTGGAGCCAATTGAACCTGAAGTCGCCGGTAATGGAGATTGATTCCTCCCCTATTGGTCGGTGTTCTAAGGAACACCAGAAGATCTACCAAAGTTGGTTTTCTGTCGCTGATTCAGGTTCGCATATATCGTTCTTGCATGCGTGAATTTTGGTTTCAAGATTGTTGATACTGTGTTTTGTCTGTTTGATTCTGTCTGAAACAATTTAATGGTAATTTTTCGCTACGCAATTAGATGGAGATGGCCGTATCACCGGCCCCGATGCCATCAAGTTCTTCTCCATGTCTAACTTGTCTCGCCAAGATCTCAAACAGGTAATTTAATCTGATTAAATATTTGAACTTTAGCTGGGTTCAGTTATGATGGGTTGTTAATATTTTGTTGTATTTTGTTGTACACTCACATAGTCGCATTTTTGTTGCTAGAGGGAAGTGCTGATCTCAGCTCGATTGTACATTTTTCTCTGTGCATAACTAGTTCCTTTTTGCTTGATTTGCGATGAATGGCGGTCGTACTGTGGTGATAACTTGTGATAGAATCAAGTTCATGTGCACAAATTTTAGACTCTCAAAATGCTATGTGCTTTCTTGTTACCGTTTCTGTTCTCTCCCTTTTTTTTTTCATTTTCTTTTTATTTTTCAGTTTCAAGTGATGTTGGGTCTGGAATTTCTTTTTTTTTTTAACAAATTTTTTCTTTCAATTTAATAAGGTGTGGGCAGTTGCCGATTCAAGGAGGCAAGGTTTTCTTGGATTAAAAGAGTTCATTGCAGCGATGCAGGTTCTGTTTGTTTTGTTTGATTTGTTTTGTTTATGATATGAGGAGAAAAATCATCAATGTGTATGATGTAATCAGTCTTCACTGTTGGCTTTGTAGTTAGTCTCTTTGGCACAAGCTGGCTATACTATCACCAGTGATTTTTCAGCCTATGATGGTAAGTTGTAAAGTATTTCTGTTCCTGGTTTTATCTGCTTTTTAATCGTAATTGGTAAATCTTGATATTGGGATGAGTAATGTACCTGTCGCTTTAGTATGGTAACATCAGTATTGGAAAGCAATTGTGACATGGTTTTCTTACATAAATCATCAGGAGTTGACTTTGGTGACCTGCAACTTCCAATCATGGAGGGTCTGGATACACTCCTAGCTGTAAGCTTCTTTTCACCCTGTTTGTCTGTATTTTGCAATGTTGTCTTGTTTATATTCTCATTTCAATGTTGATGCCAATTGTTATAGATTTTTCTTTATTGCAGAAGAAAAGGCGCTCATCTGGTTCACCTGAAAATAATGGTAAGATGGACAACATCATAGAACCACATTAATGATTAGTTTCTCAATTTTGACTTTTTTATGTTTTAGGAAGTTCTCAAGCGCAATCGTCACCAGCAGCTGGTTGGTTTTCTTCCACCAAATCGGCAAAGAAGGTAGCATGTTTGTGGATACTATATAATTTACGCTATTTATATTAGGTTGATTCAACTTTTCATAATCTCCCTTCCGCACCAACTCCTTGAATTTATTCTGTTGATTTTAAGAGGCATTAGCTCAAGTACTCATGACTCATGAGCAATTTTCTATTCAACAAAAACAGTAATCATACTGGCCCCTATAGTCTTGTGTTTTGATTGCAGATCTGAATTGAAAGTCAATGATTTTTTTTTTTTTTAACTTTCTTTTTGGTGTGTGTGTGTGTGTGTGTGTGTATGTTATGACATACGCCTCTTGTGTTTCAATGATTGAAGCAGCTCCAGAATTACATTTTTGTTAGCTACATACTTATCGTGTTCTGTGTTATTTCATGGTTGGCCCTAGCTATTAGGCATTATCCTAATACCTTTACTTTTCTTAGTGTGTTGATGATTTTTTCCCTTCTTTCAGTAGGTATGTACTCAAAGATTTCCATGGGCATGTGCCTATAATGAAATATTCATTTTCTTTAGTTGGTTTTCGATTTTCTTTTTCCTGTAAATTTTCCGTCATGCATATAAGTATTTTTGAGGTTTCATTTAAGGTAATTAATTCAGAGATTTGAATATTAAGATATTTCTGTCTATTATGTGAATAGTTACTTCATCCTCCTTTCATCTCCTTTTTGACAATACTTTTCTGCTGTAACTTATCATTCTTTTGGCTCATCTATTGATGCTTTCCTAATATTTACTGTTATAAGGTATCTTTGAACTCCGTAACATCGGTTGTTGATGGGTTGAAGAAGTTGTACGTTCAGAAGTTGAAGCCCCTGGAAGTAACCTATCGGTTTAACGATTTTGTTTCTCCATTACTGGTAGGTACCATCTTCTTGATTTGGGGTGCCAAACGAAATTTTCAAATTGTTTTGATTCTGTCTGCTCTTGGATTTAGAGTGATAGATTATTTTCTGAAGATCATCTTGATGTATCTTTTGGGACTGAGTTTTTTCGGTAATTGTATATTTTCAGGGCAATAGTGATTTCGACGCTAAACCTATGGTGATGTTACTGGGTCAATACTCAACCGGGAAGACGACATTTATCAAACATTTGCTCAGATCAAGTTACCCAGGTACTTAACTCTGTTCAGTCATTCATGCAACTTCTGTAATGTTCATATATATCTTTTACACATTCTTTATGTTGTAGGTGCTCACATTGGACCAGAGCCTACCACCGACAGATTTGTTGTTGTGATGGTATTCCTTTTTTTTTTTTT